GGTATTAGATAAAGCTAAAGGGATAAAAGGTTCGACTTCGGCAGGACTCGAACCTACGCGGGATAAACCCAATCGATTTCTAGTCGATCGCCTTAACCGCTCGGCCACGAAGTCAATGAAGCAATGTCATTGTTGCTGAAGACTGATGGTGGCGACTCGGTTACTACCCGAGGCTGATTGCTGGGAGGTGGAGAGCAAAACGATGCAGGAGAAGCTAAAAGTCGACTTCGGCAGGACTCGAACCTACGCGGGATAAACCCAATCGATTTCTAGTCGATCGCCTTAACCGCTCGGCCACGAAGTCTTTGAATGATCGTTAGATGCCAAACAGAAGAGGAGACACAAGGTTACTAAGCATTTATTTCGCCACACTCGAGTCACAAGCACACGTACTGGTACATGTAGTACCGTACTTCAATTCTTCCCACAAATGATTGTCTTTGGCTGTACCTGGTACCCTGACGGTACCATACCAGACAGGTACGCTGTACCTGGCACGTAGCCTTGCCACTCCCACTCTTATTTGTTAACTTTTTGCCACTCCCACTCACTTTTCAGCTGAAGGGAACACCAAGCTAGCAAGAACTGCGGAAGCACTTTCTCGGAACCGTAGATGAAGATTGAGAATGATTCGATTCGTTTCAATTCGCTTTCGGTACGGTACGACTGTACCGTACTGGTACCACACTGAAGTCTTGCGGAAGGTTGTCTTTGCCGTAACCTATATTGGGATGTCTTGACGAGTTGTGCAACAGATTAGTTCATAAAATCAACTTTCAAAAACTCTCAACACAACAGCAGCAGCTGAAATCAAAGGCAAGAGAGAAACAACTAGAAAGAATGGGAGGACACCACAAGTAAGTTTTTCTTCAAGAATGGGGCACCCAAGTGCTCAATTGTTGCTTGGCTTGGTCATTGCTCATTGTGCGTCTTCTAACTCCATGTTGGCTGCGCGTTCGCTCTGCACAGGAAAGATGCTGACGCTCAGCCCAGCAACAAGAACAAGAACCACCACGCAAAGGAAAATCACGCCCCAGCAAAGAAAGGCCATGGTGGAAGGAACCACGAGGAGCAACCTGCAAAACTGAGCAACAACAAAAAGGGCCACGGTGGACGGACCCACGAGGTGCAAGCAAAGGCCAACCCCAACCTGACCAAGAGAGACCTCAAGATGTTGGAGAAGCTCCATGCCAAGATTGAGTATCTCGAGATTCGAGATGAATACGATGAGGCGGACAAGTTGAGAGAGCAAATGACTGCGATTGAAGACAATGCCAATGCCAAGGCAATGAAGAAGGCCGAAAGGAGGGCCGCTGCTGCCTCTGGTTAGACTCTACAAGAAGCAACAGAATCATGCACTAGACGGGCATGAGTGATGACAAGCAAGGACGCAAGAAGGCATGTGTTGACAACTATAGATGGTCTCAGAAGGAAACATAGAAAAGACAGAAAGAAGGTTGATAAAAGTTGAAGATAAAACAATAGAGAACACCATTTGTACTGTACTGTCCTATCTTGAGTGCTGGTACCCGTTGCTTGAACTGCGTGTTACCGTGGCATTCAATTGCTAAGCTAAAAGCTGCTCCGACGGGATGCAATCAACCATTGCTTGCAAAGTTTCATTACTTTTATAACATTACTTCTACAGTTTCCACCAGCACGGACCAACATCGTCAACCAACCTTCAAACACCTGTGTTTAGTTAGTACGTTGCCAGTACTCACTCCAATCGCTGCGTGCATTCCTTATCACCTTTGCAATCAGCCAGCCAGTCGCAATCGATTGAATCGAATCCGCAAATCCACGATCAGTACCGTACGTGTACTGTACTGCCGAGTCGAGTCACCACCGTCAAGCATCCCACATTGTGCTTGTTCGGTAGCAATTGTCACGGTTGACGCGGCGCAAACACACACACGCACCAATGCCATTCGCCTTGCGTGTGTCAAAGCCATTCTTTCCATGTGCACTTTTTATTCAGCAGAGGGAGCGTCTGTGGCGGGAGCACCTGTTTCTTCTTCGTCATCAAATGTGGGCACAAACGTTGCTTCTATCACTCCACCAACTGCAAGTTCAGTAGGCGATCCAGTGGCTTCCAGTTCTCGTTCTCCTTCTTGAGATAACTTGCGACCATCCGAAGGAGCGTCTGTGATAGGAAAGTCTGTCTCTACGTCAGATGGCGCAAAAGTTGCTTCCACCATGCCGTGAATTTCCATCAATTGTCGTCCTCCACGCAAATTGCTCGCAGCCTGTGAATGGCCCACGGCAGCCAAAAAGATAGTGATCAAAGAGAAAACCTTCATGCTTGCAAGGGACTTTTATTGTCGAAAGAAAGAAGTAAGATTGTGAATTGTGGGATCTTGAGCTAATGTATCAAAAGTTTCTTCCCCTTCGTCTGACCGCTCATTGGCAATTGGCATTGCTTCTCAATCTTGTGAGGTTTCTTGTGCCTTCGGAGTGGCATTGCTAATTACCAAAGTCACTTAGAGAGATTTGGTTCGGAGAAGTGCCGATGATTGGCATCACACCGGCACAACTCATCCGTGCTTCCAAGAAAATGACAATGAGCCAGTCGAGCTAGGAAGTCTTCAATCGTTCGGTCGATCCTCATAATACCGGTGGCCAGGACGCCAGGGCCAACAGCCGTGCTTGTGATGGCTGTTGCCTTCACTACGGTAGCGTACCTGCTACACTTGGGCTGTGGGTCCTTCGACGTGAACTACCAGTGTTGACTTTTGTATGAACCCATCTTCATGTGCCAACAATGACAAAGCACCAGTAGCGCGGCAAGACTCTCACTTACTTGTCGACTCCACATCAATTAGCACAAATAATAGTACTGTAACCCCCAATCAAGTTTCTCCAAGAGACAAAGGCTTTAAAAACTTAAATTTAGTACCTTATGGTAGCATGAGCTGTAGCATGTCATCTAGTAGAGTTAGGGGGCTCACGGGTACCGGCACCGTACAATCGTGGCAGCATAGAAAACAAACCGCTGTGAAGCCACATAGCCGCAACATTCTAAATCATAGGTTCTGATTTGCTCACACATCCAACCTTGGTCTGAGGGTTGCCTCATAGTACCTACTGATGGGTTTTGTTTCAGCCCTTGACCGGCACCATGGAGGGCGGGATGGCTGTGGCCTTGAGGAGCTTATTGCATCTGTGGATCTTTCCATTTTCAAGTAGGGTTAGGGTTTTTCATGGATCTTTCCATTTTCCAAGCAGCCAAAAGCTCAGAAATTGCGCACACCCGGAAGGTCCCGCAAATAATGAAATAGTTTAATTATAATGAATTCTTGATTAATGTGTTTAATGGTGATGAATGGTGATGAATTCATCACCAGTTTGTTGAATGGTGATGAATGGTGATGAAAATGATTAATTCGTGATGACTGGTGATGAATCGTGATGAAAAATACTACTGTTTTACTATAGAGATAATGAATGGTGATGAATGGTGATGAAAATGATGAAACCGTGATGAAATGTGATGAATGGTGATGAATTCATCACCAATGTGTTGAATGGTGATGAATGGTGATGAAAATATTTAATTAGTGATGAATTCAATTCCAGATTTTCATGTTTCGCAGGACCTTCCCGAGATCACTGCTGTCAACTAACTAACTGAAAGCAAAGCAAGCAACAGGTTGTTGCAATAGAATGGCTTTTACTAGTTGTGTTCTGTCTGTCAGAATGTTTTGGGTCGTCGCACTTTGCTGCTTTTCTTTGCCCGCTCTCGCTCAGAAGTTTCATGGCCTTGACCATTCTCGTAGTAGTAAAAGCGTGGGAGATGTGTCTGCCCTGTACGACCTTCTAGATCGTGTCTTGGCCAAGAGTGATACTGGTGAGAACGACGCAAGTAGTCATTTTGTGCTCAAGTTGTGTGATGGTTCGGAAGATGAACAAGACAATGTCTCTGTGGAAGGGGCTTGTAGTTGTTCGTCTTCATTCGACGACGACAATGGTGGTTGGTTCTGCATGGAACAACAACAACAGTCAAGTACCAACGACGACCTCGTGATTATGGGAACATCCGTATCTGAAATCTCCTATGGAATTGGACACTACTTTCGTTACTACTGCAACTTTACAGTGGGTTGGGAACGGATTGGTGGAAGCGTCCGAAATCTAGCACTGCCCGACGGCTCAGCATGGCCAGTGGTGCCTCAACCAATCCGCAAGCAACGGCGCGTTCCATGGTCATATCTGATGAATGTATGCACCCACAGTTACTCCTTGGTGTGGTATGATTGGGAATCTGGTTGGGAACCCTTTTTGGATTGGGCCAGTCTCATGGGGATCAATAATCTGTTGGCATGTAAGTCTCTCCCCTCGCATGTTCATTTGCATGGCTCCTTCCATCCTCGATCCTGTATTCACATCAACTCTTTCGTTCACTCTTCTTCATCTATTTATTTATTCCTACAAGTAACGGGCCAGGAAGAAATCCAGTATAAAGTGTATCAAAAACTGGGATTGAACGATGAGGATATTCGATCTTGGTTCAACGGACCTGCCTTTTTGACATGGTCTCGTGGGCAAAACGAATATGGAAGTGGCATTGCCGGGCCCCTCCCGCGCTCTTGGATGCAACAGCAATGGGAATTGCAAAAGGATCACATCTTGCCTCGCCTCAAGGAACTTGCCATTGTGGGCCAGTTGCCTGGGTTTCAAGGCAACACACCCATCCAACTGTCGCAATTGTATCCTCATGCCAAAATGACCAAAATGGGAGACACGGGATGGCTCGATGCCTTGGATCCATTGTATGCCAAAATTGCAGACTTGTGGATGTCCACATTGGTGGATGACTTTGGCCGGGATATGTTGAGTCATTGGTATCAGATGGATGGATACTTGAATGGCGGGGTACCTCCTTGGATGACGCTGTTGTCAGATGATGATGACAGCCGTTCACAAGACACCACTCCTCGTCAACCTACTACCAACTCCTTCAAAGAAACCAAAGCGCTGATGGAACAACAAGAAAGCAGAAGACTCCGTAGTAGCAACCAGCAACATGCAAAGTTCGATGTACCGCACGACTCTGTGTGGTATCAACGTGGAGTTGCGGCCTACACTGGATTGAACCGAACGGATCCCAATGCAGTTTGGAGCTTTCAAGGTTTCAGTTTCATAGGATGGAACAACTCGGATGTTACGGCCAGCTGGCTCAAAGGATTCGTTGACAGCGCCCCGCCAGGTAGGTTTGTCATCATTGACATGTCGTATACTGGATTGGGTGAGTGGACCAAATGGAACAATGCCAGTTATTTTGGGGCAGACTTTATTTGGTCAGCATTGCACAACTTCGGTGACACCAATGGTTTGAAAGGCGACATGAACCGAATTGCATCGATTCTTCCATCCATTCAGAGCACTCCATCCACTTCGGTGGTTGGGATTGGAGCCACGCCGGAAGGAATCGATCAGAATCCAGTCTACTATGAGTTTTTACTGGACCAAGCCTTTCATGGGTCCCAAGACGAAAGTGTTCCCAATGCCACCGCCTTCATGGTGGAACGGAGCCACCGACGTTATGGGGCGTGCTCCACCAGCAGTGACCCATCCTGTAGTCACGTTACAGAAGCATGGCAGCTGCTTGCCAAAACTAGTTATGCCACGGATCAGAGTGTACAGGACACCACTGGTGTGGCACACCGGAATCCTCGAGCATCCGACTTTAAAACGGACCGCTGTACTCCAAACAAACAAATCTGCAGCGTCTTTCGAGCATGGAAACACTTGATTCGGGCGGCAACGGTTGCTCCCAAGTCGCAAGTAGGCTTTCGCCAACCACCATTCGAATACGACCTGATCAATCTAGGTCGCGAAGTTTTAGCACAGCTGTCAGCGCCGATGGCGTCCAACTTTTCGGATGCGCTAGCTAAGAAACCACTAGACGCAACGCGACTCTTGGAGACCGGAAATGTGTACATTCAACTCTTGGAGGATTTGGATCGTTTGTTGGGATCACATGCTGCATTTCTGGTGGGTCCATGGATACAATCTGCTCGAGCTTGGGGAAAGAATGGAGGAAATGACTGTCATGCCACTGCTGCACCCAGCATACAAGAGTGTTCCGATTTCTATGAGTGGAATGCTCGCGTCCAAATCACCACCTGGAATCCGACATCAGCAGGAGCCACGAAGATCCCAGGCGGCCCCATTGACTATGCTGCAAAGCATTGGTCGGGACTTTGCAAAGACTACTACGCTGAAAGGGCGTCACTAGTGCTGCAAACAGCGCTCGCCAACTCTGGCGAAACAGGGACCTTAAACCAAACCGAAGTTAGCCTCAAGGAGGCCCAGCTTGCCTTTCGATGGACAACTGCACTATCCTTTTACCCTACGAAAGCAAGTGAGGATCCACTCCAGATGTCAGTTGCGATGGAACGATTGTATGGACACTGGTTTGACTCTTGTGATGTAATGCTGTAAGGATCTGTTGATAGCCGGGATTCAATGTACAGTGGCGTGAACGGGTTTGCTGCGAACTGACGAATATCACGATATCACGACAACTGCCTAGTAGACCAGGACACAGTCCCTATGGCAGGCGAAAGCAACGCAGGTCAAGGGCGGCGAAGTCCAAGTTACGAGTTGGAAATCCCAACCAAGACTGATTGAATGAATCATGTGCTTTTGAAGGATTGCACAGCGCTTCTACTATGATTGTTATTAGCTCATTTTGACTATATTGATATTTCTAACACTCATCGGCCACGAATTGTTTGTCCACTACGATATCCTTCTCGTCCACAACAAATACATCGTCAGGTGCCGAAGGGGTAGGGTTTGTAGTGCTACTAAAGGATGGCGCCGGCTGAATCGAAGCTCGCGGCGGCTTTTCGTCATCAGCCTCCTTGACTGGCATCAAGCCACAGAAGCGTCTGGGAGGGTACTCAAACTTGGACCGGAACGCCCAGCGAATCAGGTGGCAAGTCCTTCGAGTGTACTGATGCCAACCAGCGGCCATATCACAACCACCCAAGATAGCACAGAACATGTACGAGCTGGCCGCAACGAACTCAGTGGTCAGCACAGAGGATAAGAGCAGGGAGGAGTCCATCAGAGCACAAGACCAGTAGAAGAAAACACAGGTACTGTAGAGAAGCCCTGTCCAAAGGTTGGGTGGATCCATCAGGTTGGCTAACCGGAAGAAACTCAGAGAAAAGAAATACACGCAGATGGCACATGCCTCCAGGAACAGCACACTCATGCTCGCCATGAGGAACATCGAGAAGCCCACAGTTGCAGCCATGGGGCTGATTTCTGAACAGGATTTGCGCTTGACCTCTCCTCCAGTGGGGGTGGCATCAGGTCGACTTGATGGAGGAGGAGGGGCTTGTTCTTCGAGGTCCGCGGTTTCATTCGCTTCCGCTGCCACGGCGGTTGCAATCGGAATGTCGTTCTTGGCCTCCTCGTAGACTGTCCACCAAGGATTCCCAGGCACAAAGAATCTGTGATCAATGGCGACTTGAGCGTTCTCGGGATGCAAAGTGGCAATCCATGTCACATAGGATGATTCTGGATTCTGAGACATGTGATGCGAAAGATGGTGCTCGATCAATTCTGTCCCTTGACGACGGGCAAACTCCGCCTCCATTTCGGCCGCCTCGTCGCTCAACTCGGAGATTCCAGTTCCAGACTTGGTCCTCATCTTTGTAAGTTTTTTTTTTGCGGGCTAGCCAGCTGGTGCAATCGCAAAACAATGACACCATCCAGCGGCAACCAAAACAACGGCTTTGAGCTGGGGGACAATGTTTCCGTGGACGGACCGGTGAGGCGCAACTGTGACTTTGATAACAGGCACGAATCATATCTTCGACACTCACGACTTGACGAGGTCTGAGCTCTACAAAATTTGTCTATCACTCCCACCAAGGTTGAGGACAGCCTCTCGTTTACCTGGCTAGCTAGCTGTTAGCTGTAGCTATGTATGCACCCAGCTAGCTGTTGGCTGTAGCTATGTACCCACAACATGAACAATAAAGCACATTGCCAAGAAGAAAGGAAGATGTAGTACAGTACATGTCTGTTACCAAGCTACGTCGATGGCACGCATCATTGGCAGCATGCGGTCTTTCTTCTATCTCAGTCTCTTGTCTTCTGATGCCGCAGCTTGAGGAAGGCCCAACCAACCTGCATTACAACAAAAAAGGTAACCTGTTTGGGACCAGTAGCCAAAGCAAATCGACAGCCAACCAGTTCCAGACGACAGTTCACAGGAAGGGAAATGAGGGTTATTATTAGTAGGAAAAGTCTACAGCTCCAGAGTAGTCTTTGGCAGTTGTTGCTACAAGCTCAAAAAACCAATGACCACTCAGAGCCCTTGACTTTCACAATCTTTTATCTATCAAGTGGCAATTACTAAAACACAAAGGTGGCAATTACTAAAACACAAAGAATACAGGGTGGCTACGTGCTTTAAAACTTGTTTTTTGAAGTGTGAGCAAAGTTAAATCTCCTCCGCTTGGAGGTGCGTATGCATGTTGCCAAAGCAAGAAGGAAGCAACGAACCAGATGATAGCAAATTAAATTTTAAACCCCCTTATATAATTAAATTTTAATGACTGATGTGGGCTGTGGGTTGGGCTGTTCCTATCTCTGACATTGAAAATGTTCATGTTTCCTACCAACAGCTTTCTATACTGTAAACTGAGTATTATTGCGTTGATTGTACTCAGTAGTCTGTACGATGTACGTAGTGCACTCAGGTACGACTACAGTGCTAGCTACACTCCAAACCTGAAGGTAAGAAACTACGAATAAGATTAGCAAGTACTCAGATTTTAGAAAAGTTAAGAATCTTTTGATACTGGAATTACTGGAATATCACAGACTTGTAAGAAAACTTCCCAGTATTGATCTTGAGACCTCAACCAATTTTAAAGAGTCCTGAGCAAGTTGGACCCAAAGGGGAGGTGCACTGGGTATATCCAAACACTACCCTGTTTGATCTGCAAGCTTAGTAAGAAAGTCTTCTGTACTGAAATTGGCTTGTTTTGTTACAAAATAAAATGAGTAGAAAAATAGAGCAGTTGGCTAAGAAAGCTCCAGTACTGACTCCCAGATCTCTTATTATTGAGTTTGGCGTGTAGCTAGTGGGGCTGGAGTCTAGCCGTTCCCCCTGTGAATGAGCAGTGAAGACGGTGGGGAATTTCTGATGAGAAAGTCTGAACCACTGATGAGAGATGCAATCCCTCTTTTTTAGGGGGCACTTGGATTACTTTTCCAAAACTTAATTATTATTCATCTCTAACTTCCCCAAATAAATGAACGCTCCTGCATTACTTCCTCAGTTCGCTTCAATAGACTTTTGTGAACGCATTTCATGTCTGTCCTTTAATTCCTTTGTATAGTAGCCACCAAGCAGTCATGTCGCTTGGTTAAGAATTTTAAGATGTGGCGTGGATGTACCAGGTTATACACTTAAAGTCTAGAATACAGATGGATTGATGTGTAGGCGAAGTAGTCATATTCGTTAAAAATTGGACATTGTCGCGCTGGTTTTGTTAAAGGTCAGGTTTCCTTCAAGAAACCGTAGAAACCTTCCATTTCGATCTCAGCAGGTCACAACATGGTCACATAAAGATTGCCTCCGAGAGTTCAGCTGGAAGCAAAATTCCGGAGCCAAATTTCTTCACTCCCAGACAGAACCATGCAGTTACTACTGTTGAACCACACAAAACCCAACCAAGGCAAAGCCAGGCAAGACCCTCGATACAGCACTCATTAATCTGTCTATTGCTTGCTTTCATCCTCACATCACTCTGCAGCTATTGCCTTTGGAAGCCCATCATTATCGATCGATCGATCGATCTTATCTCCAGGATTGTCGCATTTGCTTGTCCATAGCGCCCACAATCCGTCGCCGTCTACCCTGGACACTCCCCAGGACTTGAGTTGCCATTGCTTTCCTTCCATAATCTACTATCTTCTATCTTTTCTTCCATCCTGATCGACCTCCTCTCTTCATATTCTCCATCCATCCATCAGACTCAATCAGATCAGACCATGATTCCCAGTCCACCTGAATCGGCTCCTGCTGCCGAGTTGACCAATCTCCGTGCGGGAGAAGATGTGGTCCACAACGACGACGCCTCGGTGGGAGTTTGCGTCAGTGAAATCGACAGTTCGGCGCATGATCGTAGCGGCAGTGGTATTACATCGTCTCACCGATCCGACTCGCAAGACGAAGAATCCGCTCGCAAAAAGGAACAAGAGCAATTGGCCAAAGAAGAAACCAACCAGATCAATCGCCTCCGTTGGTTGGTCTTTAAAGTGCTCCTCTTGGCCGCTCTGGTCATTTCGATCATTGTCTTTATGATTTCCCGCAATGCCCAACAAGATACCTACCACAAATCCTACGACGGTGCTGCCCAACATGTGACGGACGCCTTTCAAGATATCATGGTATCCAAAATGGGCGCTGTTTCCAGTATGGGCGTCGCGCTCATTGCCCACGGGCGAGATCATTACCGCGACTGGCCCTTTGTCACACTCTCTAGTTTCCAACAACGCGCCAGTACCGCACTGGTACAGTCGGGCGCCATTTATCTGCACTTCAATCCACTCGTTACCAATGAAACGCGACACGAGTGGGAGCAAGAATATGTCGTTGGACCCGAGGCGGTGTGGATGTAAGTGTGGCTATTGCTGGGCTGGGTGATGCAGGCATGTGAGGTATCTTTCTCAACTCACAGTCTTGTTGTTGTGTCTATCTATCTATCTATCTACGTACAGCGACGAAGCCATTGCCTACCAAGATCATGTGGGCATTTTTGAATTTGACAATCACTCACACGATTACCACAGTCAACCCGTGCCGGTCCAAGAAATGGACGAATGGAAAATATGGGATCGCACCAACCAAGGACTCAAGGAGGATGAAGAAGATGATACTACGGATGGGCCCTACATGCCCACGTGGCAGACCAGTCCGTTGCTTCATGGAGGACGGCTCGTCAATGAAAACATTCTCCAGAATAGTGTGGCCGCACAATTGTCCTTCGACTCGGCGTCTGTCGTCATGGGAAGCTTTTGGATGAGTCGTCAGCGAGCAGCTGAGGATGAAACAGAATTAGACGATCACGCCCACCTTCGCCGCAAGCGTCGGAGTCTAGTAGGGACCTTGTTCGATGAAGACTATGATCATGGCACCGCTCAAGGAGATGACATGTACTCCTTGCAAGAAAATGCCGTCCTTTCCGAACTATTGAGTGCCTCTAATCAACAAGATACCGTCTACCAAGGAACACCCATCAGTCAAGTATACTTTCCCATCTTTGACAGTTTTGACGAGGAGAATCGAACCACTGTCGCCGTCATGGTGGCATGGATTCATTGGTCCGACTACTTTCGGGGAGTCCTGCCCGACAATGTCCAGGGGATTCAGATTGTATTGCGCAATACGTGCGCGGATGATCATGGACACACGAGGCATCATCACTCCACGGCCTACACCTTTGACATTTACGGGGAACACGTCACACCCGTCGGTCCGGGAGACCAACACAACAAGAAGTACGACCAAATGGTACGAAAGGCATCCTTCGAATCCATTCAAAACATTGCCGATGGGACCAAAAATGGCCTGCCCTTTCACAAGGAACACTGTACCATTCATTTGGAAGTCTACCCCACGGATGTCTTTTACCAGAGTTACCACAACAGTACACCCATTGTCTTGACACTGGCTGTCGCAGTGGTGTTTTTAGTGGCGGTAGCCATGTTCTTGGTCTACGATCGATTGGTTGAGCGCCGACAAAAACTCGTCATGAACCGGGCGGCACAAACGACCGCCATTGTCAGTTCCCTCTTTCCCGAAAATGTCCGCGATCGGATAATGTCTCAACAAGCGGCGGGTCGCAAGGCCGACAAGCGTGGCAGTAGTCATGAGCGTGGTAGCACGGTCCGGAACAGTGGTAGTAACTTTTTGGCGCCCAGTCGACGACTCAAGGGATACTTGATTGGTAACGGGGAAACGGGAGGAGAGCAAGATGACCAGCAAGTCGATCCTTTCGATGATACGCCAATTGCCGATCTGTTCCCACACTGCACCGTACTGTTTGCCGATATTTCTGGCTTTACCGCTTGGAGTTCCACGCGGGATCCAGCGCAAGTGTTCATTCTGCTCCAGACGTTGTATGAGGCATTTGACAAGATTGCCAACCGAAGAAAGGTGTTCAAGGTGGAAACAATTGGTGCGTTTGCGTTTTCTTCGTGATGCTAGCTAGGCAGTGTGGGTGTCTGGAGAGAATTCCTCACAGTTCCATCTTCTCCTCCTTGAGTGTAGGTGATAGTTATGTAGCCGTCACGGGTCTTCCAGGTGAGTCTCGCTGCTGCCAAAAAAATCTCGAGGGCTGCCCTCCTCAGGATCGATGCTAACAAAGCTGCTACACAATAATGATTGACAGAACCACAATCAACACATGCTGTGATCATGGCTCGGTAAGGACAACAACATTTGGATGATGCAGGCTGTGAGCCAAGAGCCCCCCACCTCACATCTTGCCCTTCCTTTAGTTTTGCTGGAGAGTGTATGACAAAAATGCATCAACTGGTGGCGCTCCTTGAAACAAGGCTTGGGCCAGATACTGGCGAGCTTTCCATGCGATTTGGTTTGCATTCTGTGAGTTGCCTTTCTGTTGGGATCTTGCCTGTTGCCGGGAATCTTGCTCCACAATCATGATGATTGGTCCGCTAACATGTTTTCTTCTCATGCTGCATTGCAGGGGCCTGTGACTGCAGGAGTGTTAAAAGGCGAACGTGCCAGGTTCCAGGTAGGCGAGAGAAAGTTCATCTCGGGCCCTACTGCATGCTGTTTCATGGCACCACCTTACCGAAGCTTCCTTCCAACCCTCAGCTCTTTGGTGACACCGTCAACACTGCAGCACGCATGGAGAGTACAGGAATTCGCAACAAAATTCAGGTGTCTCAATCGACATATGACCTGATCGTCGAAGGAGGAAAAGCAGCCTGGGCCAAACCTCGGCCCGACAAAGTTGAAGCCAAAGGCAAAGGAATGCTTCAGACGTATTTCATCAACCCCAGCGCCAAACGAGGCAGCACCACGGAATCTACTGCATCTGATGAACAATCGGGTTCGGGTGGGGACGCTTCTTCTCGAATGCTCCAGGCATCTTCGAGTGCTATAGTTGCGAAACCGATGCATGCAAAGCCAGGCGGAAAGGCTCTCTCTATGAAAGAATCGCGTTTGGTTGACTGGATTGTCGATCTGCTCCACGAACACGTCAAGAAGCTGGCGGCCATTAGAAGCCGGAGCAAGAGTAAGAGCAAGTCGATCCCATCGTCCGAGGAAATCATGTACAGACCACCAGAAGGCCAAACATCGATGGACGAGGTTGCCGAAACTATCCTCTTGCCCAAGTTTAGCTTGAAGAACTTTGCAGCAGCGGAGGAGTTCCGTTCGGTCACGGTGGATCCGGTCGCCCTGGAGCAGCTTCGTGACCTGGTTGCTACCATTGCCTCGATGTATCAGTAAGTTTTGAGTCAGAACCAGGACATTGTTTGTTCCGCTCTTGTCAGATTTATCTCACCCACGGCGTCATCATTTGCTTCTCTCCTTCTTTTCTTCAGGGACAACGACTTTCATAATTTCGGTATGTACGCAGTTGCGTTTCATTGACGTTGCTCAAGCATCCCTAGCTAACGTATTCGCTTCTTGCTCTCTTGATGCTGCAGAACACGCATGTCACGGTAAGCTCACGTTTTGGCTACTAAACAGATTCCTGTTTTTGTCTAGCTCATTCCCTCCGTTTCTCCTCTCCACTTCAGTGACCATGGCAACGAACAAACTTTTGAAACGTATCGAAACACCGGACATCAACATTGAACAAGGGACGGCCACTGACAATCAGATTGCTTCCGACATTCACCAGTACACACACGGCATTAACTCTGATCCGTTGACCCTCCTAGCGATTGTCTTCAGTGCCCTTATCCACGACGTGTAAGTTTGGCTTTCGACGATCTCTTCTGCTGAAGATGATGTTCCTTTGCTTATTCCAATGACTTCTTTTGTGCGTAGCGACCACCGTGGAGTATCCAATGTACAGCTTGCTGTTGAGCAGCCAGATCTCAGAGACAAATACAACAATAAGAGTGTAGCCGAGCAGGTGTGTCTATTTGGCGAGAACTGAACGAAGATACGCATGCATGTTTCTCACCAAATCTCTCTATTTATCTACCTTACACGAACTCTCCTACAAGAACTCTCTGGATCTGGCATGGGACCTCCTTATGGACGACAAGTATGAGGCCCTTCGAAGGTGTCTGTTTGCAACCCACACAGAATTGAGGCGATTCCGCCAGGTATGTTTGTTGGTCTGGTGGCTGCTGCGTCCCTTTACTCTTGTGGCATTTTTGATTGCCCACTAACACTCCCTTCATGATGCAACAGGTCCTTGTAAACGTTGTACTTGCTACTGATATCTTTGACAAGGAGCTCAATGGTTTGAGAAGAAAGAGGTGGGACAAGGCCTTCTCCTCTGACTTGTTGTCACATGAAGAGCACAACAATCTTCGTGCGACCATAGTCATTGAGCACATCATCCAAGCTTCCGATGTGTCACACACAATGCAGCACTGGCACATTTACCGGAAGTGGAACCGAAGACTGTTCCACGAGCTCTACCATGCTTATAAGGCAGGTCGCATGGCCAAGGATCCAAGCACTTTCTGGTACAATGGGGAGATTGGCTTCTTTGACAACTATGTGATTCCACTGGCGAAGAAGCTGAAGGACTGCCATGTGTTTGGCGTGTCCAGCGATGAATGCCTCAACTATGCGCTTCAAAATAGGAATGAATGGAAGACCCGTGGCCAGCAAATTGTGGAGGAGATGCTACAGGAGTTGGCCATGGAAGAAGAGCCTTAAGACCTGGCTCCATCCCCATTTGGAAGCCAGCGGTTTTGAAACTTTAGTACCATTTTTCATGCTAACACGTCATTGTTTCCTGTGGGACCTACCGGACAAACTTAGTGGGCCGGTGTTGCTTTGCCATGTAGTTCTCTGCAGCTGTTGGTCTGCTCCAGGATTTCAATGGTGCTCCAGCAGCCAGCCAGCTGGCTTTCTAGCTAGCTAGTGTTTTGTTGAAGTGGCCAGCTACATTGCCCCACAGCGCTTTCTTCCTTCTTATGGGACATGGTTGCATAAGTAAGGGCATTTTGGCTTCACTTCTCCTCAAACAAAATCTTGCACCTGGTTGTTCATCAGTGTCTAGAGCTAGATAGGTAGCCAAAAGGGGTCCGCCTGGCCAAGTTTGGCTCTGAGCTACCGCTGGTGATCAACACCAGTGGTGCTGCACCGCACGCTTAGCTACCAGTTCCACAATGACAAAAAAAAAACTCGTCTATGACGAAGGTCCAGGTCTGTCCTTTGCCAGCTTGTATCGTTGGCTCATACTGTACTACTCATCTCACTAATACATACATGTACTGTCTTGTCCCTCAAATTCCCTTTCTGCGTTCGTTCTCACCTTTTCATGCCAACATACCTATCGAGCCCCATCTTTTACAAGGGACGCGAAACCAATGAAAACATCCCTCAATCATTTGGTCCAACTGGTAGCTACAAGGCTTTCTCCAACGAGTCAGTTGTCACGAGTCAATTCCTCAACGCTCCCACTGGAAACAAATCCTCGGCGGACCCAAAAACCGCCTTGTACGCCCGACTGCCTGTTGAGTGCCAGTGAGCAAGCAAACCTTGACTACCAGGGAGACCCCTTAGCATTTTTTTCATCCCCGTCTTTGATTCTCTAGAGCACAACAAGACAACTATGGGCGTACTTGTTGCTTGGGTTTGCTGGATGGGCTTTTGGTCCAATCTTCTACCATCCAGTTTGCAAAGTATCATCGTCGTTGTAGGTGATTCTTGTCAGCATGAAAACACGTACGCCATCACTGGTGTCACTTCGAGAGTCACCACTGGGCGAGGGTGACTTGCACGACCCTCGCTTTGATGACATGAAGAGGTTTGCATCTTTCGAATCCATCAACAGAATCCAGGATGGGACGAAGGACGGTCTCCCATTGAACAAAGAAGTGTATCCATCGCACGCGTTTTATGACACGTACAATACAGCTCTCCAGTACTCTTCACTTGTTCCATTTGGGCATCTTTTTATATACTGCGATTATGTTTGTCCTCTATGATCGGCTTGTTGAGAGACGTCTTGCTGGCCACCTGTAATTGTTGGGCTGTTGTATAGCTACTATAGCCAAAGAAAGGCCCATAGGTACTACAGAAGCAGCAAGCCACAGAAAAGATGAAAAGTACTACCAGCAGCCAGCAGCCTCGCTGAGCGATAAAGAAACCAAAGCAACGGAAGCAATAAGGTTGAACTTCTTGGCTGGGCCTGCATTGTCCTTGGCATTCAAAGGCACATAGTTACTGCAGAAGCAGCAAGCCACAGAAAAGATGAAAAGTGCTACCAGCAGCCAGCAGCCTCGCTGAGCGATAAAGAAACCAAAGCAACCGAAGCAATAAGGTTGAACTTCTTGGGCCTGCATGGTCCTTTGCATGAGAGCGGCTACTAGTATGCGTAGCGATGTGGTATTCATGCATCTTGACACTTACTTGACAACCGCCCTTCGATTCCATTGTGGCTAAGTCGAGCCGAGTGACGAGTCCACTCAGGCACAATGGAATTACCCGTCGAGTCGAGTCGAGCTAGATCTATCATAGCTGTATCATGTAGCATGTAGTCTACTAGTACAGCAGCTGCAAGGCTCCAACATCCAACATCACAAAGTAAGTTGAGACTTTCACCCCGGTTTTGCGGTCCTACTTACTTGATGAGAACTATTACAGCGTACCGAGTAATAACTCTGTGTTATGTGGTATTATGGTGAGGTGTCCCGTGCCTTCTTTCCTCTGCCTTTTAATTCAGTCATGCAGGTCAATAAATCTTCCCCCAACTTCATTTATCGCCAAAGTACTATGCTTTTGACTGTTGTAGACACTATTAATAGTTATTGCACGTTGCGCAGTACTAGACTAGCTAGTATTATTAATAGTACCGCGTATTGCCCTCAATTCCTTTTCTTACCTGTAAGAGTCAGGATTGGTAAAAAGTTCCAAGAGTGTTTTAATAAGTTTCCAGAAAGTGTTCTCTTTTCTTCAGGTCTCCAGTTTAAAAGTACGGACTATCATAGTTCTACTACTAACTAAGATAGAGTGTAGCGGAGTTAAAGTAGGGGTACCACTACCGGTACTACTGTACTACTAGCTAGTATGATACAGTAGCATTACTACCAGGACATCTGTGGAAACTCGAGTCGTGCTACTTTTCGTCTCCTAAACGGATCGTCTCTTAAATCTTTTGTCTCCGCTTAAAATGTCTCCTATTTTCAACGGATCGTCTCCTATTCTCAACGGATCGTCTCCTAAGTGTACTATGTAAACTGTATGGTATCGTCTCTTAAATCTTTCGGATCGTCTCCTATTTCGAAACGATTGTCTTCTAATTGGAATTTCTCCTACTGAATCGTCTGATTCGTCTCCTTAATATAGGAGACGATTGCTTTCGTCTCTTAAATCATTTCGATCGTCTCCTATTTCTCGGTGTATCGTCTCCTAAGTATTTTGCCACGAATGACGTTTCCACAGAGGTCCAGGACGGCTTTAAAAACGGACACGACTGACGCATAATCCTGGTTCTCATAAGGGGTTGTTTAAGGGGATGTTGAAGCTTTAAGGGGTTGTCTAAGGGGGTGTTGAATATTTAAGGGGATGTTGTTAAGGGGTTGTTTATTTAAGGGGATGTTCATTCGTGATAAGGGGTTGTTGTATGGCGTTTCAATGAAGGCTTAAAGGGTTGTTTCGAGGATATAAGGGGATGTTGTTAAGGGGTTGTTTATTTAAGGGGTTGTTTAAGGGGATGTTGAAGCTTTAAGGAGTTGTGTAAGGGGTTGTTTAAGGGGTTGTTTAAAAGATGTTGTCAGTCATGGTAATAAAAAGATTTTTAAATCCTGATGAGTGAAAAGCGTGGGACGGTCCAGTAGTATGCAAAAATTCAGGAAGTTCAAGATCCAAACTCGGCCTGCACTGTAATTGACTCTTAGTTGGGGTAAACATCTAGCACATGTAGCGTTTAATGCTAATATTTATTTGTACTATTGAAAGTTCGGTTTACCGCATCTACCGCATCCCAAAGCATCTGAATTTCAATCTCTTTTCTCTTTTCGCTCCCGTCTCCCAGTGTTATAACTTACTTATGACAGACTTAGTAAGTAAGTCTTGTCAGCCAGTCTGACTGGTGAGTCTTTTGACATCCTGTCCGGACATCATACATACATGTACATCATACAGCCAGTGAACAGTAAACGAACCGGTATGAACGCATGCAAAATAACAGCTACAGCAGCTCTACAGAAGACCTACCGTACTCACGTAAATTGTGTGTTGTTGAACTTGGAAGAACACTGGTCAAAGTCAGAAGCTCTTAGATCCGGACTCCGAGTATTTTATTTAAGTATCACGAAGACTTCGCCGGAACGCCAGAGTGAACAGCAAAAGCGCATCAAAACAGCCAAATAATGCGGAGCTACTAGTACCTGGCAGCCGTATTATGAACTTGCAACTAGCTAGCTAGTAACTAGCTAGAGTACCGTAGTGCATGGTACATCTAGCTAGAGCTCATGTATGTAGTGTGATGAGTGATGAGCGCTTCCGAAGAAACAAAGGCACTCTCTCCATCAAGGAGCAAAAAGTTTCTTCCCTTCACTGCGCACTTGAACTGCAAAACTTATTACAATCAGGTACCAGAAATATTCTAGCTATTGATATAGTTCTAGTAGAGAGACTGCACCATGGCGGCCTATTCCCGCACCCCTACGATTTCCAAGGACGGCTTGTCGACGATTGTGGATGACGAACCAGAGGATGGGTTTGACGATGAGGGAAGTCTATCGCTGGGTTCCTTGGACGGTGTCGACCAGAGTCTGACGCAAAAGTCGTCGTCGCAATCCGAAGAGTACCGTTTGAACCTAGCCCGTGACGAGACGAAGCAAGTCTTTCGCTTGCGCTTGCTGGTGTTTTTGGTCTTGGCGTTGGCCGCGACGACCGTGTGTGTGTTGGTGTACCTCGTGACGCTCCAATCGGAAGAAGAAGAGTATCAGAATCAGTTTGAAGGAGCCGCCGCCAAGCTGACAGACTCCTTTTTGGATGTCGCCGGATCTCGACTGGGCGTCATGGCCAGCTTGGGGGTGTCTCTCACCACCAGCGTCAATGACAATGGTCAGCAAGAGTTCCCGTTCATCACCATGAGCAACTTTCAACAACGAGCACAACCCATTCGCAGTCAATCGGGCGCCGTCTACATGCACTTCAATCCATTCATCATGGAAGGACAGAGAGTCGCGTGGGAACAGTTCCTTGTCGGACCAGAAGGATCCAAGTGGTTGTAAGTGAATGGACAGAATCGAGTTGCGGGTTGCCTCGTTGCCTCGCAGCTCACCTTGTGTCTTGTGTTCTCCTACACCACTCCTCTACCGTACCGGTATGCAGAGACGAAGGTTTGGCGTACCAGGATGAGATTGGCCTCTTTGCGTATGAGGAGGACCTTCATGGCGGAGGAGACGTTTCCGATGATCCACATGCAGGACATGGATCCACCGGCCACGAGGGACAGCATGAAATGGACGGCACTTCCATGCATGCTGGCGGTGGCGATGGAGAGCACAGTCATCATCAGCAGCACGCCGAAGAAATGGAAGACACTACTAGCGCGGCGACAACAGTTACTGAAGATAGCATGAATCACACGGGGGCTTCTTCTGGCCATGATCATCAGAACATGGACCAAACGGTTGCTCCAACCACACAACATCATCACAACGACGGCTCGGGTATGAGCATGGCAACCGCCTCTCCACAAGATGATACTCACACGGGACACCACGACAACAACATGGTCAGCACAACTGCCCCAAGCCAGGAAGAAACCGAAGAAACCCAACCGCAGCATTCCATGACGCAAGAACCGTCCTCCATGGGCCATCATGATCATGACATGCCGCCGTCAAGTGGCATGACGAGTAGTGGGCACGCAACAACAACTGCGCCTTCTGCTATTGGCGATGGAATGCATGAAGATCACACGATGATGATGACGCAAGAGCCAACCACGATGGATTACATGGCGACAATGAACAACGGAACAACCCATCATGCCATGGCAATGAATGCCACAATGAGTGGCTCCATGTCGTCGCCAACATCCTCCTCCATGAATTACCCTGACGAAACCATGCAACCCAATGGAACAACCGATCATGGCATGGCAATGAATGATACAATGAACAACACCATGTCGTCGTCAACATCCTCCATGAATCACGCTGGCGAAACCATGCTGCACAATGGAACGACCCATCATGCCATGGCAATGAATGCCACTATGCAACACAATCATCGTTCACTCGAAAGCATGGACGCTCATGCCGGGCACGACACCGAAGATCCTCACGCAGGCCACCAAACAAACGAACCCAATGCAGGGCAAGACAACGAAAATTCTCAGGCAGACTTGCACCACGACCACGACGTTTACCTGGCCTTGATCAGCGAGGAATCATGGTCCATCTGGTACCACAACGACAAAAAAGAACTCGTCTATGATGAAGGTCCAGGTCGGTCCTTCTTTGCCCGCTTGCATCGTTGGCTCGTACTAGTCTAACAGCATACTGTCTTGTCGCTCACATTCCCTTTCTGCGTTCGTTTCACCTTTTCTAGGTCCATACATGCCAACATACCTCTCGAGCCCCATCTTTTACAAGGGACACGAAACCAATGAAAACATCCTCCAATCATATGGTCCAACTGGTAGCTACAAGGCATTCTCCACCGAGTCAGTTGTAACGAGTCAATTCCTCAACGCTCCCGCTGGAAACAAGTCCTCGGTGGACCCAAAAACTGCCTTGTACGCGAGACTCCTGAGTGCCAATAAGCAAGCAGTTGTTGCATACGAGGGAGACCCCTTTAGCCAAGTGTTCATCCCGGTCTTTGATTCTCTAGAGCACAACAAGACAACTGTGGGCGTACTCGTCGCTTGGGTTCACTGGATGAGCTTTTGGTCCAATCTTCTCCCATCCAGTTTGCAAAGTATCATCGTCGTTATGAGTGATTCTTGCCAGAATGAATACACCTACGCAATCACCGGGACCGAAGTTTCGCCACTGGGAGAAGGTGACTTGCACGACCCTCGCTTTGACGACATGAAGAGGTTTGCATCTTTCGAAGCCATCGACAGCATCCAGGATGGGACGAAGGACGGTCTTCCATTCAACAAGGATGAGTGCTCCATCAGCATTGAAGTGTATCCATCGCACGAGTTTTATGACACGTACAATACCAGCGCTCCAGTACTCTTCACTTGTTCCATTTTGGGTATCTTTTTATTTACTGCCATTATGTTTGTCCTCTATGATCGGCTTGTTGAGAGACGTCAGGAGATTGTCATGAGAAAAGCAACCCAAACAGACAAGATTGTCGCTTCGCTC